GTATCAAAAATCCTACATTTCACAAGCAAAATTGTGTGAGAAATAAACCCCAACGCAATACGATTGAGCAGTAGCTCGTCACCCATCTAGTTATAGGTTTCCCCTTCTCTCAACTATCGGAACTGTACTCATTGTTCCATGGATGTCAACAATAGAGCTGAAAGTTTTTTTATATTACATTGAATAAAATACTTAAATGTACATATGTCTGTACCCCGAGTTAATCTAATTTCGTATCCCAGCCACACTAAAATCTAAAAAGCTGTCACCAATAAATATGAAAACAAAAATCCAGTGACCATTTTGGGTGTACGCTTTTTATTTTTCACGAAACTGACGCGTTCGTGCATAGCCGGGAGCGAAGGTTTATTAAATTTCTGTGATGGCTTGCAATAATCCGATGCATCGTCCTCCCCGCCGGCGGTTATCCCAACCACACGGACCTAGGGTAATAACTCGGAAAATTATATTTTTGTTACCACGCCAATAATAATATTTGCTTACTAGCAAACACAGCATGTACAGCATGTATAGCTTATTATGATATATTAAAAGCATCACGTGTTTGTGGTATCACAATATTTTGTTTATGAAATTGTTTAATTTAATTCCGAACTTTTTGGTCAACGAGATTGTAAATATGGCTGTATTTTTTGGTACATAAACACACACATTATATTATTACGTTAATTATACACATAGTTATGTGTTTATCAGCTATGAAGCAATAATATAAACAAAACTAAGCATAAGTAAAGTAATATTAAAGTATTTCATAATAACGATTGAGTATATTTGGATTAAATTAGTGTTTCATTTCATTGCGTCAACAAAGCAGTATGATTCTTTAAAGTCAACGTATTACTGAAAAAACTCGTAAGAATTAATAAATCAATGTTAATAAATACAAACAAATTAGTACAAATGGGCCACTAGAGTTCACCGACGAGAACTCGAAAATAACCATTCTAATTGTATATTTAAAATATCCTCCAAAACTCAATAGTACTTCGGCATAATTAAATTATAACAAGGAAAATCGTAAAGAGAAACTTCAACCAAAACAACAATAAATAAAATTTATAAAGAAATCAGAAAAGGTAAGAACGATTAGCCGACCGCACAGTGCTCTTAACGATATTTTCCTCAGACAAAATAAAAAATAAATATTTGATATTTTATACAGTTCAATTTAATGCTAAATAATATCCAATTTAGAGAGTATGTGTGTATTGTAGGTATACACAAAGCTCATTATTATGACCTACATATTTTATAATAAAGAGTTGTTGTCCTTTCTTTTGTAGCTTTGTGAGCGGCCATTGTTTTAACACAATAGCTCCAAAACACGTGTAAAATTCCCTCATTAGGAGACGTGTTTATAAAATTCTGTTTGTCACAGTGTTACGTGTTCGTAATTGCCGTTTGATTGTAAAAGATTTGGGTTACGAATGTATGATAAATATAATATTGTGAATATCTCTGTCGTAAAATGTATTTTATTTTTCTAGTATCTTTTGACCTTTTCTGAGAAGCTCTGTTTCTTGGTACTGTTATTTAAATTACATGACTTTTTAAGTGTGTGATTGATTTTAATTCTGACTGTTAAATAAACAATTGTTTTTTTTTGTGGAATATAACTTTACAAAATAAAATTTAGTGCTATACTTTTTTTAACACTTTAAGCGCCATGGGGGTCACCGATGACCTCCGTTAGCGGAGGATTTGCCTTCAACAGTTTTCTGTTGGCAGTCAAAGGCTTAATTTTCATCTGGCTTTATTTTTTTATTCATTATCAGCCCATAAGTTCCCACTGCTGAGCAAAGGCCCCTTCCCACACGGAGAAGATATGAGCATTAATCACCACGCTTGCTCAATGCGGGTTGGCGATTTCAAACTTATAATTAGAAATTATAAGTCCAAGTTTCCTCACGATGTTTACCTTCACCGTATGTTATTGATGTCTAAATAATCATAGAAAGTACAATCAACTCGCAAAAAGTCACATTGGTACTTGCCAGGTTTCGAACCTACACCCTTATGCATGAGAAGCGGGCTCCTTAACCTCCGGACCTTTTATTCACTTTATTACTATTCTGAAAAACCAATCACGGCTTTCTTATAATTTTCAGTCTTCATTATTCCAAAAAAAACACACTCCAAAAATGTCGTAAATATAAAAAAAAATGGAAATCACGCCAATCGGACTGGCAAATTCAATCACGAAGTCAACCTTATATAATTATGTTTGCCTCCTTGCTTTTTCTGGTGGAATGGTGACGTCACAGCCAACTGATATAGACATTCGGTTCATTGACCTGTCACAACTTATTTTTCCTAAAGAATGACCCATTTGTTTCACCTCCTCGCTTGAATTTTCTTTAAGGAAGTGTTGTATGGAACGTCTATGTAATCGGGTATGTATTTTATGGGGCGCCATTGTGTTTTGTGAAATATGGATTGGTTTAAACATTTATTTGAAGGCGTGTAAACATTTAATTCTTTATAAACGATTCGATTATTTATGAAACAGTCTTCTAATAGCAAATTGAACTTAACACTTGCAAATAGTAAATGATCTACCAGTAGTAACATAGCGAGCTACGTATTCTTATTTACCGTGTATTATAACAGCTTTAACGTGTATTTATTATTTAGCTTACTATAACTGGGACTAGCTTGATTAAAGAATAATTAAAGGTATCTAAGTGTGACAATTTTCTGTTCATTGTGACCTACTTTTTTTTTTGTCAGAGGGAAATCATCAAATGACTTCTCCAACCTAGAGTAAGAAGTGTCAGATTCTTACTGACTAAAAACCTCCCGTCCCTTCTCCTACTCTAGGCCAAGGCCGCGGTACCTAATTGCGCTTATCCCGCAACCCTGGCTAAGACCTACTTAATATTTCCATTTCACTAAAAGACACATAGGTACACAAACACCTTTGAATTCCAATAATAAAACCGAACAACTAATAATGAAAATTCAAAGTGTCCAAGTAAAATTTACTGTTCTCTCACTGAACGAAAAATACAATGATTTATCGAAGTTTATAAAACTCAAAGGAAAAGAATTGTGAAAGATTTAAAATTTATTTGATTGTTTTATCTTTAAATTCGGAGAAAAGGTTGGGCTAATATTGTGTGGCTTCTTGCCAAATCGGTTGACAATAATCGATTTGAAAAATCGTTTTGATTTCGATTGCTAAGAGATCGGAACGAACGATTTTTATGATATTAATTAATAGCAGACTATATTATGTAAAGGGTCCCAATTTGTGTAATAATGACATAAATTGAAGAAAAGGAGATATCAAAATGGCTATATTCTCTTCCTTTCCAATGACAACATAATTACATCCATTATATCAGACATATAATTTCAAAAAGAACTTTTTGGAGAACTTGACAGCCAACAAGCAGACGAATGCTTTATGTTGGTTAATAACACGGAGAAGTTACAAATGCGTTGCCAGCCTTTCGAGTGGTCAGGGATTTGAGCAATGGGGATTTGGTTACTGCGGACGGGGGAAGACTATAAGGCATTCAGTGACCTCAACGGACCAATAGTATCACTTCAGTTCATATGTGTCAAAGCATGGCTCTTCCACATTCAACCTTAAAGGAATAGTACTCAATCTATACCAATATTAAGATTGTATGTTTGTTTATAGGGGATAATCTTTGGAACCGCTAGTCGACTTGCCAAAATTCTTTCATTGATAGATAGCTACAATGTTCCTGAGTGCTATAGGCTATAAAACATCACGCTACAACCCAATGGAGCTGAGCACCGGGTGAAACCGCGCGATAGTAGCTAGTTCTGTTATAAAAATAATATAGCAATATAGAAAGTCCGTATATAATCGAAGCATACCTAAATTCGACTGTCTTTACTCCAATGAACATGGGTTTTATGAGACAACACGCCATTTCTCGATGTTAGGAAACTCCTAAAGCGTAAATAACGCGATTGGGTACAAATGACACACTGACTCGTCCAACCCTTTGGTAGCGCACCAGGGGCATTATAGCACCCATTAACAGGTTGACATTGTTTTGTCAGATTCCGTGAAACGAAATAGGCGTGTTTAATGGGATTTTAGAAGTGTTATGCTTTGGTTTTGACGGTGAGTGTACACAGTGGGTAGATTACAAATATCTGTTGGACAAAATTTGATCATGAATACTTTATTTAATGAACTATTAATTACTTTTCATTTCGTTTAAGAAACATACGTATTAGGTAGCTATATTGTATAGTATATTGTACCTAATATGTATGTACATAAGATACAAATAATACTTGATTCTTGTTTTATTTTCTACAAAAACATTTACAAAATTATTTCTATCTTAAGTCTTTCACTACTCTTAACAGAAAATACGTATAAATGTAAATAAATTCCGTTAAATATTTTGATCTCAAAGCCGGGTAGTCAATGTTTTTTTCATACGTATGTCTAAGTGCCTATCAAGCCTCAAAGATCGCACTTCGGAGAAATTTAGCCTTCATTTTTACCTTTCTTTATCTGAATATTCGTAGAATTTATTTAAAAGTAAAAAATAATATTTTCTTCATTCAGACTTTTTATTTATGTAGAAATCAAATTAAGAAGAGTTACTTCAGAGTATATTAATAGCTTGTTGTTTATTATTGGGATACAAATTAATAAGTCCCTTTTAAAATAGGAATATTTGATCTACTTCATATAAATAAATGCTTTAACTGAAATATTTTACTATAAATCCTTGAAACCAATTTAGTTCCTTTTTATTCGGTAATGAAATGGTAAAGACAAACACCAATTTAATATTAAAGTTTCTTCTAATACTTCTTATTATTTTAACTTTCATCAGTAATCACCAGTTTGAATTAGTTCGTTTCTTAATTACATAAACTGTTGCCAAAAATAACACAGACTATTTAATTTTTACTGTTTGTGATGGAAAATTGTTCTTTACGTTCCTGAAAATAATGTTGTTTTTCATTTGTTTCAGACTGGCAAACACTTTCATAGGACTTCACTTCTCATCAAAGCTTTCAACCACAAGTTCCGACTGGACCTTGAGCTTAACACGTAAGTAATAGTTGTTAGTTTTTTGTCCACAGAAAATAACAATTTAGCACACTGGGGAATTCTGTGGATAAATAGTTGCACGAATGAACTACAAAATTGTACTAGGATTCAAATCAACAACTGAAACACAAAATTCGATTTGGTAGACCAATTTTTTTTTAAACACTTTAAATGAAATTATGATTTAATAAACAAAGACGCGTAGATACATACATATAAAATGTACACGAACCATATAATGGAAAATAAAAATTCCAAGTCGCAACCGCGATTGTAAAAATTCAATACGTCGAGCCGAACTCTAGATATACAGAAACCCAACACTAAGGACCGAACAAGGAAATAAAAAACTTCCAATTTGTTGGGAATAAATACAGCAATCGGCCGACAGAACCCGAATGGTACAAAACGCTAACAAATTGTACCAACTCAGGGGAGGACTTCAAAAACAGTTTGGACCAACACCATAAATGAAATACAGGAACGGGCGTGAAGCTAAAAGCCTTAAAAGAAAGAGATAGGTATATACAAACCTTCTTTATATAAGAAAAAGATGGAGTATGAACGAAAAGTCTTTGAAAGAATCGCTATTTCGAGGGAATCGTCGGATTTCTTTCGTTTATAGATAAGCTGTTTGTAATTCTGAAAGAGTTCTGCGTATTGCAAAATTCATATTATGGTTGGGGGTAGGTAAGTGGGGCATTGGGGGCACGTGGCTGATTTGTACGTAACGGTGAGGGCTTCTATAAAGTGAAATACCTGAGAGGTTTTTAAGTTGAATAAAAAAAAAGTTAATTTAAATTAAAAATAAAATAATATTTAGTAAGAACACAAATTCAAATTCAAAAAGCCTTAATAATAGCAATCTAAAAATTTAATCTAGACTAATAGACACAGGCAACAGTAAAATAAAAACAGTTCTACTTTTAAATATATAGGGTCTAACTATAAAAAGTCATTTATTTAGATTTATAACGGACAATTTAAAATTACATCATTTATAATAACAACCTATAATCCATAATTAAGAATTTCACACTCGAAAAATTCGATAACATTTTATTAAACCCGGGAATAGCAATCTATCTTAATTCGAGAGCTGCTCGATAAACGAACAGAGATATAGTACCGACGGTCCCGAAGGGCCGGCAGTATATGTAAATATTTTACATAATATTTCCATATTGATTTCGAAAACAAATTCAATGGAATCGGAATTCTATGGTAATCAATTGACAAGGAAAAAATATTGCTACGGCTCTTTCTATAATGGGTAAAAGAGGGATGGAGGTATTTATTTTTTTGGTTTTTTTCCTGTCATTAAATTCATTAGGTGGTTTTTTTCATTGTAGTATGTCGTACTCTTTATAGGCGAACGAATAAGATAGCAATCAATTTAAAGTAAAGTATTATTTGGAGCGTGAATTCCAAAATTCTTAATTCCTTATTTTATAAGAAAAATCACATTTTTAGATATATTCCGTTATGGTGACGATACCTAACGTATTTTTTAAAGGGCAAGCCCGCCACTACTTCCAAAAACTGCTGCATCTCTTGTAAGCCAGGGTCTACAGTGGATACAACCATGAAAAGAACGACACACTGAAGTCGTTACACATCTCAGGAACATGAATAAAACTGACTTGGATTCCGTTACGAAATAAATCAGAAGATATAATTTGAGGAGCTGGAAAATACTAAATGCAGAAGAAAGAATGACTGAAGCTTTACAGGCAAAACATCTAATGTGATATGACCACCATTAATCAAAAAGAAGGTGCCTATGAAGGTTTGCTTCCAAAACCAATAAAAAAAAAGTATTACATAGCACCATAATATCTTTATCCTACGACCATAACGTTCCTGTCATTTTTCCACAATTGTTTACAGTTGCCAATGTCTCCCTTTGTCCTGTTAGATATCCAACATGTCCAGCCTGTGATTAATGCGGTGCCGCTTAAACATGTTCGTTTTCCATTTTTAAATTTACATTTTGAAATGAAAATGTTTGCGGACACTCGAGTTGGTCGTTGTTACCATGTTCATTTGTTTTTTTAGTTGTTTATTGTTGTTTTCTTTTTGTAATGGATCAATGGTTGCGTGTTATGGGGTGAGGATGATAAGCACGTTTATATGTATGTATGTGTGAATTTTATGGGGCTAGGAGCTCCTGAAGTAAGAGGATGGGTTTGCCGATTTTTTTAACGATTAGTAGATAGATAAAAACGTGTTTTTCAAAATCCTTTCTAAAATAACTATTGATGCAATAAGCAAACTAAAATGAACCGACTGATGCTTATATTTAGTGAGTTCCATTTTTAAATCAATGTCTTATTCGAAGATCCTTAAAGTTTCAATGATTGGCTGCACGACTGGAGTAGTGGCTGGGCAACTGGCTGCCGCGCAACGTGTCGCGGGTTTGATTCCTGCACGCCACAACTCTTTATGTGATCCATAAATTGTTGTTCCGCGTCAGAGTGTTTGTGAAATGGTATATTTGTAACACTAGAATCTTTGACACAGTTTTTCAAACTTAAAATTTTTACATGAAGGTATTTTTCTGTTGACCTCGCATTGTAAACACAACAAACAACAAATGACGACTACATCAGAAACACACACATCCAAGATAAGTTGCACAAAGAACACGCGATGCTTAACACACAGAAAATCAGTGCACAAGTATTTCCACATGTTATACATGGTGCTACAAAAATGTTGATTGGCACACAAAGGGTGTCGCCTATGTTGCCACCGCGTTTTGTTTGCGCTCCACTTTTAATGAAGTTGTCGAGCGGAGCGACTGGCGGACGATACATGGAACTAGCTACATTAGGAACTTGCCAGGCTTCGGGTTTTCTTGTAACTTGTCTCAGTACAATTATGAACTTTAATTCAATGCTATAATTCGTGAATTTGAAATAGAACTCCTTATAGGTATAGTCTGACGTTTTTATGCTTCTTACGCTGCGTTAGATATATGTGAAGAAAAGTTTTTTTTAGTTTAGTGTGATAGGAAATGGCTTGTGGTTTCACTGTATTAAAAAAACAAATATACAAACGCACTATTTTAAACCTCACGATTGACTAGGCAACCGTCTCCGCGCCGGTTGTGCAACATGTCGCGGGCTCGATTCCCACACCTGATTTCTTTATGTGATTTTCAAATTGTTATTTCTGATCTGGGTGTGATATACATGTGAAATTGTATGTTTATACCCAAGACACAGAAAAATATTCAAGAGATAGGTAATGTTTTCTTTTTCATTAAGAAAAAAAATACCTACATACATATATTTTTGAATTACAACCACGACAAGGTCTTAACCATGTTAAAATACTTAACGCAGTATAATTTTCAATCATCAATTTGTGTGACATGGTATAATTATTTTAATTTTGATGTTCTCACAAAGAGTGTCGCGACCATGTTGCGTTTTGTTTGCGCACCACTTTTAATTAAGTTGTCGAGCGGGGCGACGGGCGAGCGGTTATAGCGGCCCAAGTTATAAACTGAAAGACATTCTTTATTTAAGAAAAGTTTCTTTAGAATTAAAAACACTGCTCCTAAAATTCCACAAAGCAAGAATATTCCCAGTAATTCATCTTAAAAGTGATCTAATAATCGATAACTGACATTATGCTAAAGAGATCGTTATTACGTTATTTCTATAGACTATTTCAAGTGCGTTGATATAAAATAATCTTTCATAGGAATATAATAGCAAATAATTAAATTCCAAATTTAAAATACACCTTAACGTTCTATTACTGTTCCAATTTCAAAGCTTGCTTGGTGACAGTGACATTCAAGAATGTATAAAAACTTTTTTAATTAAAACCGTGTTCAATGACTTTTGTTGAAAGTATCACATAGTCAGCAAAATATAAATACTAACGAGGTCTTTATTACAAATTGTACACATGATTTAGAAGCCGAACTCACAAGAGTCTAACCTTACATTTTGTTTGCCTTTAATGAAGTTGGGAGCGGGGCAGGCCAAGTAATAAGCGTAAAGCGTATCACAATGGACGGTTTTGTTAGTTAATGAAAACAAAATAGTCATTACAGAATATTTAAAGCATACAAAACGTTGTACGATGCAGCCCGTGCAATTTATTTATAAGGCACTTTTAATGAAGTTGTCGCGAACCAGCGGGATGCTGTAATGTGTTTGGGGAACAAGTTGTTGGTGGGCGGCGAGAGTGTTTACGTTAGAGTGTTTTAAAAATATTTGTTTTTAGCTAACTCGTGGCAAAAGTAGTTAGTTAAGTACGAGTAGGTTCTAAAATAATTTCAATATACCTGACATAGAGCTTAAAATTAATATTTTACAAATGTACTGCGTTTTTTTGCTAATTACTAAATTTTAAATTTTATATATAAAATAAACCAGTTAATGCTCGTTACTTTTGCACAAAAAGAAATGAATATACATTTTACATTGTTTGAACTAAGATATAAATAAAAATAAAACCACTACACCCGCTCATCTTACAACTTGTACCACAACTCAATCTAGCCGAGTTTCGCACCGACTCTGTTGCACGAACGAAGGGCTCAGAATTTGGGACTCAAATTGGAACATACGACACAGCCAGGTTGCTGTGACACGGGAAATGCTTTTGATTAGGTCGGAGACTAGTCAGACTTACTATCTAATTACAGTTTAATTAATTTTTCTCTATTGTTTCCCTGAAATTGGACTTATTTTGTTGCTTTAAATTGGATATTGGACTGCAAGATTGCAGCGTTTGATGGGCATTTGTCGCAGGTTTAAAAAAGTATTTTTGTGTGAAGCACAACACAAAAATTTTGTACCTGTAATATTGAAAAAAAACCTATTTTAGGTAACGTTTTCAAAGAAAGTATGATTACTGTACTTATTTTACAAAAGTAAAGATCGATTTTTAAATAGTTCTTATACAGTATTTTTATAAAAATTTCGCCCTAAAATTCGCATTGAAATACTTTTACTAGGTAAAATAAGTAAATAATA